GCTCCGCCGGAGGTTCGGCCACCTTCTCCCAACCCTCTTTAGGGCGAGCGGGCTGGAAGGAGCACCGCGGATCTGGGCAAGCCCCTCGCTGGCCCAGTCCCTTTGCCCGCGGCTTCTACGGAACGGCCGCCTGGGAGCGCAGGACTGAAAGCCCCAGCCCGCTTTCGGTACCTTGTACAACATCGCCGTTAATTAGTTTGTTACAGAAAACTCTGGAGTAACATAAAATATTCTAATCGCTCCATCTAATTACAAAGAAGAGCAAATTCACTAAAAAAAATTAAGCATGTGAAGTATAATTAAGGCAGGGCAATTAACACTCAAGCGGGAAAGCTCTGATGAAGCGAAGTGGGTTTAAATGGGCTGGGTTTCCTTTTGGGGTGGTAAACGCCGAGGTTTGGCTGACTTTCCGGAGCGCAGGGATCCGGGGCTGTCCCCCCCCGCCCCGCCCCAGCACCGTCACCCTCCATGCCCATGCAAGGTGGCCAAGCCCCGAGGTTTGGGGGCTTCCCCCCTTCGGAAGGATCAGCAGCGGGAATCCCTTTATTTTTCCGGATGTCTTGTACACTCTCTCTTGGATATCAGCGTTGTCCCCAGCGCAGAGGCTGGTTTGAACTCAAAGCTAGTTAAGCTCAGGCTAATTTATCATGTAATCTATGAGGTTTTCATTAGTAATTATTTAATTTCAAATCCTGCCGACACACACCTCAAATAAACCTTGGCTACTGATACTATTTAATTCTGGCTACACACGTCATATGCTTTTCAGGATACTCATTTTGGAGCCCCACAAATGCAGATAAAATAGCAATATTCTGACTTATCTCCCACGGGGTCGCCTCCCTTACACCTAGCCAGGGAACGCAGGCACTGGGGGTGGTGGGGGTGGCATCTCTTCCCAGAATAAACGACGACTTCTCTGGCCTAGGATCTCCACAAATGAAAAGGAGAGATCTGAGCCTGCCATGGGTTTCCAGTTCTCAGCTCTTGCTTGCAACCAGATTGCAAGGTACAGGGAAAAAAAAATGCATAAAAATTCAACGTACCGAGTTCGAGCAGTATGTTTAGAAGCGAAAGGACATAGATCTGAAGGGCTGATTTTATTTTTAATTCACTCCGGAAGCCCAGCAATGCTGGTAGGTTGAGATCTTGCCTTTCACGAAGAGATTTATACGAAGGGGAAGGTGAAGTCCCTGCTATTTTCAGCGGATGCATTTCTCTTCATCAGCAAAGGATTCCCAGCTTTCAGGAGACGTCGTTCTGGTAGGGAACGGTGTCCACCCCAGACACAAGCTACCGAAACGGGCAAAAATCAGCAGGGACGGGGTGGCAAAGGGCTGAGAGGAGGCAGCCGGGTCGGCAGCGGCAGGGACTGGAGCTGGGAGCCCCCCGCTCATCCCCTGGTCCGACACGCTGCCCGCACCCCACACCGACCGACGAGCCCCGCTAAAAGACATTGAAAAGTGGGAGTCAGTGGCTTGTCCTTCTAGAAAGGGGCTCTCTGGGTCTGTCTGAAACAAACAGGCTTGAGGGGAAAAAAAAAAAAATCAACCTCCTCCCTGTTTATTTGGGGTTTTTTAACTTATTCTTTAGGATAAACGCTGAGGCTACAAGAACTGTTTTGAGATGGGAAGGTGGGGGTTAGGACACCCCTCCAACCCCCTTTTTTTCCCCCCAATATTAAGAAGGTAAAATAGCGAGAAAAAATACCATTTGGAATCCTTTGAAAACAACTTGTTCCACAGACAGCATCGCAGCAAAGAGACAACTTCCCTAGAAACGCGGACTTTTGATGCCATGGCCGTGAGGGAGCCAGGAAGAGGCTGGAATTTTCCCCTTCCCCTCAGGATTTTGCGGAAGCTTTTAAACTCCCAGGAGGATACCCGAGATTCCATTTTTACCCAGGAAAACCTGTCACAGACTTGAGAACAGTGCCACTGTCTTGGAGCTACCCCAAAAATCACATCTATTTTTAAAGATGTTACAATAAATATTATTCTGCTGATGTGATTTCTGTAGGAAGACTCAGAACTTCGCTGAAGAACTCCATCTAGCTCAAGCTCTTTGTAATGCCATCGAGTAACTTGGGAAATAACAACATGGCAGGAGATGTTCATTAAATAACCAGTTTAAAATAACCCTAACAGCCTCACTGCATTTCGAGCAATGCCAACCAGCTGGTGCCGAGCCATGCCTTGCCTGGGCATGTAAAAAAAACGCTCAGGGCGAAAGCAAAGTAAGAGATTACCTACACATTTTTCAATAGTGGCTAAACCAAACAGTAATTTTCCTGAATGTCTTATTTTTATGAGCAAGTCTGACTCTTATGCTGGAAACACTTGAGGAATCCTATTATAGAACATCCCTAATACGTTCGCGTTTTGACTTATTGCCCCCTGACTTAAAACACGCCAGCAGAACTCTTCAACCGGTATTCATTTATGGCTCTTCTGCATTTTTTAAGCATAAATAACAAAAGGTATTAATAAAGCAGGTCTGGAGTGGGGATAACTCACCATTGAGCTTCTGAAGCTCTAATTATCTACCTTTAAAGTCTGCTGATTACTAGCGATAAATTTTATAGGCTTTACTGCCTAACAGCAGGCACCTTGGACTTTTTTTTCTTTCCAGAAATTACACGGACTTCTATTGAACGCCTATTTGCAGGGTGTCGGAAGGAGGTGTAAAATCTACATAGGGGGTATAAAATCTACGTAGGAGCTATAAAATCTACCTGCGGGGCTCCATTATACACCCATTCACATTTGCAGGCTTGGGACCTCAAGCCCGTATTGCTTACTCATTCCAGTCACGCTCCACATCATCGGTTCTCTGGAAGAAGGGACACCGTGAGATGAACTTTTGTGGAGGCGATTTTACGTTTACAAGTAACGGTATCCGAAATTCCTCGCCCTGACGGTGACCTTTACGTGGCCAGTTGAACAGGTAAGTGCTACTACAGAAAGCAAAACCCCGGCTGAAGCTCTCTACAAAACCAGATCTGCAACTCACATTTCACCACCGGTCGTGAGGCTCACAGCGCTGATGGGTTCTACCTGCAAATTGAATTGACGGTCCCACCCATCGACTCGCCGTCTTGACCCGGTCATGGCAAAAGGGCTGCGAGCCCTCCCGTAACTGGTACCAGCTCCATGGCTGCCAGCTCTGCATGAGCCTGGATGCGGGAGGGAGCGATGCCCCAGGTGCCTGGCTGGCCGCGGAGGGGCCACCTCTTCTTGCCCCCCTTCAGCCCAAAGCCCTGGGCATCCCGTGCCCCTGCACCCCAGCCTCTGCTGGAAGCACCAGCTCTTCTTGAGGCATCCCAAGGACCATCAGGGAGGTGCAGGGAAAAGGGCAGGTTTTCTTAACCCTCCTGAGGCTCCAGTATGTCCTTTCCTAACAGACTGGGCAAATTTTGGATGGGCAGTAAGTGCATTTGACTTCCCACTGCTGGGATCACTGGAATTTGCAGAGATGAAACCTCTCCCATGCCAAAAAAACCCCAAAGATCTCACCAGGAATGCTGCTGAGCCTGGTGCCGTCTTTCAAGCGATACAGACGATGTCTTTCATCCTTTGCTCATCACATAATGAACACCCCTGGGGGTCTGTGTGGGACCCCCGAGATGGCGTGTGGCTATGGTGCCCCTGTGGCTATGGTCCCTGTGTGGCTGTGGTCTCTGTGTGGCTATGGTGCCCCTGTGGCTATGGTCCCCATGTGGCTATGGTCCCTGTGCCCTGCTGAGCCGCTGCTCATGACTGGAGGGGCCACCGCCTCCCGTTATCTTTGGGTCCGTCTATAGGAATGTATTGGGAACGGCACCGGCAAAGCACTCGCAGTGCTGCACGGCCAGAAGAAAAGCCACGGTAAGGCAACCACAAAGCCTACATGGTTAACGGACAGAAAAATAATATTAAATGAATAAATAAAAATATAAAAATAATACAAAACTAAGACCAAAAAATAACCCTCGCGATAACTCTTCCTTTCACTGCTAAGCCGTAGTCATGGAACGGTTCCTGCAGTGGTCCTAGATGGTGCCCTGTGCTCACAAGGGAGGCACGGTGAGGGAAGCAGCCGCGTTTCTTACCCCCCTCTCCAGCAGCATGTCTCGGAAATGAGTGATGCGCTCTTCCAGGGGAGGCGTGAGCCGAGGCGCTGACGAGTCCTCCTTTTTCTCCTCCGTTCCAGCCTTCCCCTGCTCAGCAGCTTGGGAATCTTCTGTTCTTTAACAAGGTAAGACAGAAAAGAGTTCAGTGATCATCAAAACTCGGGAGGGGATTTTCAACCCTCTCTAGAAGATCCCCCAGGACATCAAGGGCCTCTTTGCATGCACGGAGCGGCCACCAGCAGCCAAGGGTGACCCAAACCTGCAGTTTGTTATTAAACCGCAGGGCATGAGGGCCTGGCCAAGGCCCCTCTGACAGCTCGCGATGTGGAAGGATGGTCTATCGGTGTGATCAAGGGGCGGCTCAGCAGCAAAACACCGCGCTGTATTTCAAGCTACAGGGGAGTGACAGCTTTAGATAAAATTTGCCAAGGAGTGGAGACTTTAAAGGAGTGACTGAAGAGGCTCATCTTGGTTTATTTTTCTTCCCCGTTTTTGTGTCCCCAGACTCGAAAGTCAACACTAATCCTTATTTTATGTTCCCCTGCCCTCTGCGAGCTCACTCCTAAGGGAAGCAACCTGGCGATGCACAGCACGCGCAAGCCCGCAACGAAGCATCAGCGGAGAAATTGCCCTCCATCAGCGCCAGAAGGTCTGAACCTGCCCTCCGTCACTGCCAGAAGGTCTGAACCTGCCCTCCATCACTACCAGAAGGTTTGAACCTGCCCTCCATCAGCACCAGAAGGTCGATGTTGCCCCCAGCAGCCTTCTTCCAGGACTGCGTCTGATCAGAATAAATAGGTGTTGCTGAGAAAATACTTCACCAGGCATGGCCTGAGTCCCTTTGCCTACAAGACCCTACAAGGCAGAGGGGCGCGCGTAGTGCCGCTGTGCTTGTTTTGGGGCAGAAGGATGGCTTTCTGCAAGCTGCAACCATAAACTGGTGGTAGTGTAAGAGCGATGCTCTCCTGGGCTGCAGTCCTACGTAATCGGTGTCATCACTGGAGCTGAAGTTTCACACCAGATAAACATCTACATTGTTTTAGGAGAGGTAGAGACCACTAAAGCTGGAAGCGAGCACCTATCTCCCCACTGTTCCCAGTGCTGAAGATTTGCCCCCGTGGGCCCTCGGCATCTGCAGGCAGAGCTTCGTTAGATGGGAACCTCAATGGTAGGAAGGAGCCTGCTCCAGGAGGGCGATGGGATTTGGGACGGGGACACAGAGCTCCTGACTCCAGAGAAGTTGGCTGACTCCGGCCTCGCAATCAGACTTCTCGCTGGGTCCATCCTGCTGTTCCTTGGTGCTTTGAGCAAGGAATGAGTTCAGTACAAATTAAGGCTCTTTCTGGAAAGATCAGGAGTCTTAAAATGATCACAAGGTTCACGTGAGGATAACGAAGGCAAGGCGATCGGATATTTAGCCTCCTGCTAGGCATGACTGCATTTTCCACTGATGCCATTTTTCACCGCTACAGACTAATACTTAGTTTGAGATTTCTACAGGAAAACACTTTTTTTCTTTCCAAGCAAATGAATTGGATCAGAATGTAATGTGAGCTCCGGTGTATTATCTTCCTTCTACAAATAATTACATTACGCTTACACTTATCCTAAAGTGATGCTGCATTACTGGTGATTTGAGAGATATCAAATTGGCATTCTTCACAGAATGACGGTGACTTTTATATCGTATTAGCAAATTTTATTCTGTGACATGATCCATGAAAGGCTCAATCCCATTTCTAGCACACACAGAGAGTTTTTTTCAAGAAGAAATTGAGAGAAATACAGTGAGGTGCTCTGCCAGCCGAGCACCAGGAGAGCCCCTCCTTCCCCCAGTCCTCCTTACGTGATTGAAAACGATGCTACAAATCACACAGGTTCTTTTTCTCATGCCAAAGATGGCAACAAAGAAGACGATTTTCTTTAGCAAGTAATAAGATAATCTGCACATCAACCCGTGTGACTTCCTACCCAGATGGGCACAAACTGATGGCTCAGTCTCGGAAACCTGCAGGTCTCGAGGTGGACAGGGCGGTGAGAGGCGGTTGTGTGGCTGCGGTACCCACTGAAAGGAGAGAGGCAACGGGCACCAACCGAAATGCCGGGAAATCCATCAAAGCCTAAGAAAAAGAAGCTTTTTCCCTGCGAGGCCGGTCGGGCGCTGGGGCAGGGAGGTTGTGGAGCTCCGTCCCTGGGGATGCCCAAACCCTCCTGGACGGGGCCCCGAGTGGCTGCTGTGGTCAGACTTGATGACCTTAAAGGTCTTTTCCATCCAAATTATTCCATGATTCTATGACCTGCTGGGAGCCAGGTGGGTCAGGGACCCCCCAGTCCTTCTGTCATTCTGTGAAGAAAACCCAGAAAACATCATTTCTCTGAAGCTTGCTTTTCATTTGTAGAGAGTACAACCAGAGCATTGCCTAAGAAGCTGTCTTCAGTATTTTTAAGCAGTTTCATTACACCCTGACGAAATATAAATAGAAGTGCAACAGCAGCTTGGGGAGCCCGGCGCTCCCAAACGTGCAGATGCAGATTCTGGCTGGAAGCACTGGGCAGAGATCATGCAAACATCCACGAGCGAAAGAATGTCCAAGAGAGAAGAAGTCCTTGGCCAGCTCTGCCACCAAAGCAAACAGCGGGAGAAGCCAAACAGCAGACCTGTTCCTACCAGTGTGAACTGGTGATCCAACATGAACCTCTGCGTGACGAGCCTCTGGTTTGATTATAAAGAATTGTGCTGGAACTCTGATGCGATCAGATCTTATCATTAGCACAGCGCTTTCTGTACAGCCGATGATGTACTGTGTGTCCGAGGAACAATAGGATTCACTAAGAAACTTAAATGAAAAAAAACAGAAGAGGGAATACAGCGTATTTAAAAACAAACCCCGAAGCACGTAACGCCTCCTTTGTTAGTTTTGTACTTAACCAAGAAAAAATGTCGAGATTGCATTCTGCGTTAGATGTTAAATTCCCTGTCTCCATATGCAATCATTAACGTGGATATGACAGCCACGTAAAGAGCTTTTCTGCCCATCCAGCACCCAGATGAAAACTCATTTAGCTTTCTGTAAAGACAAATCCTTTTCCACCTCTGGATTCAGTCTGGAGCGAGCAGCACTTTGTCCGTTCCCAAGTCAGACAAAGCAGAGGAAACAGAAAGTCAAGATTTGGACCTTGCCTGTGCAACTTGGAAGACGAGAAGCCGGTGATGTGTATCCTCTTACCCAAAACTCAGAGGCGAACCAGCCCTTCGGCAGACTCTGCATCTTGAAAATTCCTCTTTTGCTGTCCATGGCACGGAGTAACTCGCCTGCTTTTCTTACACGGAATTACAGGCCACGGGTTTTAAATCCATTCTGCTCTTGGCAAATTCAGAGACACCCAGACGCCGGCACCTGAGCCCCACGGCTCTTAGGCAGAGCAACACCACTTCCGAGCGCTGACGGCCGCGGCGATTTTAACTGCTGTGCTATTAACCTTTACTGGGTCTCAGCTGCGGGATGGGAGGCTGCAGCGGGTCCCACGCCATCTCCAGCGGATGATTTTCATCCTGACGATAAGTAAATTCTAGTTTGAAATGAAGATCCTGCAGTATTCTACTTTTTTAGGTCATGAGCTGTTAGCTATAGTCTCGCATTAATACATACAAGCACTTGGACTGCACTTCTGTAGTACAAGGTCAGTATTTTAAAGGTCCGTCCATGAGCCTCTACATCTGCCACTGTTTCAGGGGACAAAGCAAAGTGTCGGGAAATCTTCATCTATTACAGAAGAGAATTTAAAATTCAAAACAGCTGCTAGAAATCCTGTAGTAGTTTGGGGATGGATGTTCTGCTGACAGAAAAATAAACCCTTTACGGCTTTTTGGTGACCAGTCAAACTTCTGGGGATGTGGGATCTTCACAGCAAAATCTGAGAGAATGCTTACGTTGCCAAGCCAGATCGTACTTGTTCATTATGTGAATGTGGCCCGTGACTTCCATAGGACTAATTGCCCAACTACAGCAAGTAAGAATTAGCTCCTCCTAACCTAAAGATTTATTTTTAAAGTTCAAGATAGAACCTACGCTAGGCTTCTCAGAGCTTTGAATATCCTCTCAATGAGAATCTCGCCACGAATCTCAAGGATGACAGAAGTGGTATTTGTTATACCATACATAAATATAGCGTAATATAAAGAGAAATGACGCCATGAACAGCAGTGATATACACACGTTATCAGGTCCTATTTAACTTCTGTGGTGTGAAGTCACAGCTGAGAGTGGTTCGTGTTGCCTGCAACTCAACTGACCTTTTCCAGACCCGAAGGATGCCCTTCCCACCCCACCAACGCTCTCCTCCATGCGAGGTGCCTTTGCAGACACGGCGGCGTTGCTTTGCTGCCCAGGCCACAGCAGAGGTTGCTGGCAATCGGAGGTGCCTGCCACCACGCCGCGGCATTTCCGACGTGATTGCACTTTTCGCTGGATGGCTGCAGGATTTATGCTCTTTATGTATGAGTATGTACCTGCGTATCTATAAATGTATACCACGAGGAAGGTGCTACGATGCATTAAGGCAGGAGAGTCGTGCAGCAACTCTGCGATGGGCTGACATTGCCCAGCTTGAACTGTGTTTACCTATTTGCTTTGGGGAAAAAATATGTACAGGGAAACATACTTCTGCAAGTAAACAGAAATAAGAAAAGATAAGTTCTGCAAATATATAAAAAGACGGCCCATCTATTTTGGGCCTCATAATTTTGATGATGTCCTTTGAGTGGAAAGAAAATAAGAGACTAAAGAACCCAAAGTTAGTCTGACAAGTGACCCAGTGAAGATGGGACAAGATTCCTTATTCACACGTAGACAGTGGCCGAGGCGCTGCCTGACCTGCCGGCACAGCAAGCCCAAGCCTACCTGGATACAGGGATCTCTGAATGAGTGCATTTTCCTGGAGTTCTATGAACGAGCTCCTGGAGTTTTAAAATTCCATTCATGTACATTAATGGAAGGACTTTCCACATTTTCTCAAGCAACCAGTGAAGGAATCACCCTACTGGCACAGCCCATAATACCAGCCTGTTCTTGTCAGACCTGCTGATGTCAATAAAAGTATTCTTAAATACTTTTCTTTAAGTATTCTTAAATAATTTTCTTTAAATATTCTTAAATACTTTTATATTAAATACAAACTTTTATACTGTTTATAAATACTAAATACTATGTAAATAGTGAAAGTACAAATTTAGCACATATAAAGCATATTTAAACTCTTTTATCCCAAGCCTTACATGCTTAAACAGTCTGAATATTGAACTCGGAGTAGCGATTCTTCCTTCACGATAATACAAATCCCCAGAAAGTTTTAACGAGGTCAAAAGAACCACCCAGCGTTGTAGGCTGAGAATGGCGATGTGAGAGAGAACAGAATTATCCCGAATATATTCACTTGGAAAATACAGGCATTTGGTGTGCCCACTCGTCATGATGCCCTCGATACCACAACGCGCCGCCTATGCGGATTTGGTTTACCCATTTCTTTTTTTAATGGTCCAAGCCAGTGTCTTAATCAAAGGCGGCCTGCATGAACAGCTAACGCTTATGCAGCCACTGGCCAACGGTTAAATCGAATGAAACACCTTTAAGGTACTTCTTAAAACCAAAAGAAGCGTTTACTTCATTTCCTTGCTGTTTTGGCAAAGGGCGAGGGAGTTGCTTATTTGAAAGCACATGGGGTTTTGTTGCCTGTTACTTCGTGCAAATTTGAAGCACACATGGTAATAAAGGTCCAATAAAAGCACAGTGACAGAAATACCCCCGGATATTTCTGCACCGGTAGCCTGGAAACCCTGACATCAGTGAAAAAAAAAAAAAAAAATCTGCTTCACGTCAATGAATATAAAGCATTTATGCAATGTCTTTGAAATAACTACTTATCCACACAGTCTTTTTTTAACCATTCCAAAGTGCGTAAGAGGTACTCAGAGAAAAATGGATGCTGTCCATGGAAAACAGATACTTTAGAGAATCATGGAGTTTGATGAAGACTGGATACCATAGGAATGACTCTCATTTTTTACTGGCGTAGTTATCCAGACAGAAGAAAATAATTGCATTTCTCTTTGCACTTATTTGTACCAGACATTAGCTTCCCAACATTACATATAGGTAAGTAAACTTTAGAACTTACTTATTTCTCTTAGTTTTGATGCTAAGATCATCATTTTCATCCCCTGGACAAGAACTAACACATTTATCTGCTAAAAAGAAATAAATAGTTATTAGATTGGAACTAGGTAAACAGGAACACAAATTCCTTAGATTAACCTTTCATTTCTTCCCTTTGGCTGCCGCTCAGGTATTTACTATTTTTCACTCTCTAATGTTTCAAAAGCAACACATATTTCATCAGATCCTCAGAAACACCTTCACCCAAATGAAAGAGTTAGCAATAAACCCAACCATTTTCATTCTGAAAAACCGCTCATTGTGTTGTGAACAAAATTGGTCACTCGTGGCGTGATTTTCTTTGAATCTTGTTGCCGTTTCACCTGCTGCTCCCTCCTCCCTTCCCGTAAAAATACAACACAAAGACATTTCTGCAAAATCATTTCAGTCCTGACAGCCTGAAGGATTCAATAGTGTTATCTCGTACCAGACCTTCCCTCCTTAGCCCATTTCTCTCCCTTATACAAGGAAATATAATGCTGCTTTTCCGGAAATCCAACCACCAGTACAGCAAGGCTATGGAGATACCAACAACCTCCACGCTCCCGGTGTTGCAGAGGAGCTCCAAGGCCACGTTACGCTCCCGGTTTGGCCTGGACACTCACCCTTGGAGGACTGCAAGGTTGCACTGTCGGTCACAACAAATGCGAAGCATATGGAACAGATATTGATTTCTGGAATCTATTTTTTTTTCTTTTTCATGTATACAAAGTGCAGTTTTCATCAACATTCAGACAGACCACCACGTCCATGCAGAGCTTGGTTTGTGTCAAGGACTTTTCAGTAGTTCACCATGGATTAGTTGAGAAATATAAAAAACCTGCATGTGTTTAACCAGGGAATATCAGAAACACCAAACCTCACCATTTTTGTATTGGACTGGTAATGAAGAAGACATGTCACTGTTTAGGGAACTATGAAAAAATAAATTCAAAATAAATATAAAATAGAACTTAGGTTATGGAGATAAAAGGTTTGAATGACTTGATAGGGTGAGGTCTGATCTCACTGGAATCAGATGAGACTCCAAGAGATCTGCTAGAAAATGACTGAACGCAGACAAAGATCAGTGCCTATTTCCAAATTTATAAACTAATTTCACATGCCTGCTACTCTTCCAAGTCCGATCTTCCTAGCACTGAAACGAACAGAAATTTGGCCATTTATTTCAAGTTGTAATTTAAGGATGTTGTTCTCAGTTCATTTTGTTTCCCTGTTTTAGGGAAATGACAGGTTTATTAGTACGCTTGCAGTCAATGTTACCTTTTATTGACGTGCGTGAACACAGCAGGCACTCAATCACTGCAAAAGGAATGAGAAAAACCAAAGAGCAGCTGTAACGTGGCGGCGTGGGAAGGCCGGGAACAGAGACCACGTGAGGAGGAAACACACGTCAGGTACAAACGATGCTTTGCTAACTTAAAATGGTAATAAGGAGAAATGAATGGCATTCCAAAACGAGGAGAATTTGATCTCAACATTCCTGACAATATATGAGCATTATAAATAGATAAAATGAATTTAATAATGCTTTAATATACATAAATTCACTGGAACGATTACCTCCTCTTGCTAAATTCTTTGGGATACTCAATTAAAAATACAAAGTAATGGGAAAAACAACCCGTAACCTCAGAAGGTGGAATGTAATTCAACAGAGATATTCTAAAGCTATTAATGAGGAGGGAAACAACCTGCCGAGGCAGCGGCAGTCTTAACTTTAACAAATTCTGAAGGTAGTAACATGAAATGGTGGAGTACTTGGTGGTGTTTTCAGAGAGAGACTAAGTTAAAGTTGCCTCTAGGTTCAGTGCCAGCTGGGCAACCGCTGCCCTGTTCCTACCAAATCCCATCACTACTGAAGTCCATGCCCACGGGCACCTCCCGCCTTTGTCCCACGCCACAGAGCGCCCTTCCGGGGCTGGCTGAAGGACATAGGCTGTGGTAGGCTCAGGCATTACGGATTCTGATGGGATGTTCTTTTAGCAAGGCAAGCAAGTGGGGAGAAGCCTGGCCCACGCAGTGACCCTCTCCTGTTCCACATTTCCATAGGACGAGAGAAAACTCACTGGTGACGACAAACCATTACAGGAAGTTCTCCAGCTACTTGAACCTGAACTCAAATTTGAAGTTACCTGACGACGAGGTCTTTCATAGAGTTCTGACAAGGGTATGCATAATTTTTAAATTTTGTTGAGAAAAATATGGGAACTCGGCATTTATAAAACCGAATCTTAGCTACCATATAGCTTTCAGATAAAAGGACTGTGGTACAGTATAGCCTGATTTGGGGGTTTACTTCCATCCGTGGGTTCCTGACCCACCTCGGGTTCTCCCAGAGCACTGGCAGCCTCCAGGAGGGAGGGACACCAAAGCCTTCACCCTTTGTCTGCCTGAGTCACAGCTATGAATCATAGAATCCCAGGTTGGAAGGGACCTCCAGGATCATCTGGTCCAACCTTTCTAGGCAAGAGCCCAGCCTAGACAAGATGGCCCAGCACCCTGTCCAGCTGAGGCTTGGAAGTGCCCAGTGTGGCGGAGTCAACCCCTCCCCTGGGGAGATCATTCCCATGGGTGACTGTTCTCATGGGGAAAAATTTCCCTCTCGTGTCCAATGGGAATCTCCCCAAGAGCAACTTGTGTCCATCCCCCCTTGCCCTCCCCATGGGACTCCTTGTGAAAAGGGAGTCTCCATCTTCCCTGTAGCCACCCCTTAGGTAATGATGCATGGTGATGAGATCCCCTTCGAGCCTCCTTTCCTCAAGGCTATGGGTACCCTGCCTTGGATAAACGGGACAAGATTAGAGTCAGCATCATCACCTAAAATTTCAGTGCAAGGGAAAATTCAGTCAAACACAGCAAATGGTGTCTGTGCTCCTGCTCTGGAACGTGCTGAATCATGTCGCGCCACTGGACCTCTGGTAAGATTATAAACTGACTTTGAAAGGGAAGAGAGGCAGCCGAGCACAAAATCTAATAATTGATTTAAAGCTTTGAGGAAGAATATTACTTGAGAGTAATCCTTCCATGAAAACATGAAGCGGAGCACCGCCCCAATCTGATGGTCTATCAAGCTTAGTGCCGATTAATTAAATCATTCAGCTAATCCCAGCCATGTCATGAATTCCGGTTCATCTTCCAGAACAAAGAGGCAACACCAGCAGGCACCGGGCGAGTTAAAGCGTTTGTCAATCCATTGGCCACACGCAAAAAGCAGATTTGCACTTTCCTAAAGAGACCTGGCGCCCACGTACCGCCCGGAAGCCTCGGAGCTTACCTCCGCTGCTCCCAGGGACCGCGCCTCATATTTTTGTCTGAAAGCTAAAGGGTCCGAAATATCTGTGGGAACAGAGTCAACTAAATCAAACTGATTTTGAACGGGGATCATAACAACTACGAATCGGCGTGCCATTTTCTGCAATCAGAATGTCAGTTTTCAGTTAATTAGCTGAAAAAAAATAGCGTCCTCAGCCAAAACATCCAGGCACACCATTTGAGCAGGCGAAGGAATCGGAATAGATAAAAATGTTTTTCTCCATTGCAATAGCACAGGAACATTTTAAGGAATCTTTGAGGGGAAAATAGGGATATTGTGGTCAGACTGCAACCGTTCGGAGACAGGAGCGACGACAGTCAGGGACGGGAAGAGAGAGCAGTCACTGGAAGATGCTGTTCTCTGCTGTCAGACAGCTCTGACCCAGGAACGAGGGTCTGCTCCTGCCCCCGATGGCCTGGGAACCCACCAGCAACGAGGCCACCGGCCTCGCTAAGAACTAACGCTTCGTGGCAGTGGAGTAGTTGATAAATGGGTAATTTTGCATTTACGCCCAAATCATAAATGCACTTGATCTTTCATTGGAGCGGTGCGCAGGTAACCTATAGCACCCCAGGAATACCTACGCTGGCCAACTTTTTTGGTGCCTTTTGATGTAAAAACTCTAATTAAAACTCAGCAGCGTCAACTAAGCTAAATGAATTTGGCAACCATTGCTGCAAACACACAGCTCGTCTCTGTTATTTATTTACCCGGGATTACAAGCGAAGAGAAACCAGTAACAAATAACTCCTTTCACCTCGGCAGCCAATATATACTAATTATAACCCAACTGTCTCAAATACCGAGCGATCGCAAGTGCCCGTTACACCAAGGAAGAGGAAGACTATTAGCAACGATGAAAACCATGGCCATAAAGAAACCGGTGCATGAATCAAATCTTGCTGGTGCTTACAGACAATAAATAAAAAGGATGGAACACACGGCAAAAACCAGATCTTTGACATGGCACATATCAACAGTGACTTTAGGCTCTTCTCATTAATTAATTACAGACCGTGAACAACAACCCTCAGTTTCGTCTTTGGCTGTCGTTCCCCCCTGTCAGTAATTAATTGATCTTTCAATATATCCCGTAATAAAAAACGTATGCGATATTTTTCTCCTGAAAGATGAACCCCAGCAGATACGCTCTGGAAGGATTAGATACAGAGCTAATGTTATTCGAGCCATACACAACCCCGATATGAATACAAGCACCTGATGATTGGAATTTATCTTGAAAAATGCGATGACGCTGGCTGTCGAGAAGGACTACGCTAACCGAAACCCGCTGTAGCTTTTTCTCAGTAAACTTCTGCTACTAACGACAACATAAATCCCGATTACCGCCCGAGTTTATCCACCTGCAGGCACGGTGTTCCCAGCCCACCAACGCATGCTCGCAGCCCCCCTTGGCGGTGGTGAACTGGGAGCTCTGCCTGGGGCTCACCGCAACCCCGACGGCCGGAATCGGGCTGGCCACGTGGTGAGCCTGGCAGCGCTACCTTATTTGCCATTATAAAACACTACGCTTTAAAAGAATGACAAAAGTCTCTTTTTTTTTTTTCCCCCTCCTCCATTTTCCTAGACCTCACCACTAAAGAAGAGGCACCGGCTGAGGGATGCTCTTCAGTAAAGCAGAATATTCAAGGATTACAAGCAGCTAATCAAGACAAGCGGCATCTCAAATGATGGCCATGCCTCCAGATGTCCTCCCCGTAACAGGCACAGCTCCCACCTGAAGGTGAGCCCTGACACGGCACGGAGCCGCTCACGGTAAGTCAACACCAACTGGGGAAACCAAATCTCTGGAGAGAAACGTGGTGGAGCAAACCGTGGAGCTGCTACTGCAGCGGCAAGCAGAGGGGCTGCTCCCGGGCTGGTCGCCGGCACAGACAAAATTTGGCATGAACGGTGAAGCTATGGGTAGCAGAAGAGACGGCACGGCGAGGAGCATGGGATGGGCAAGTCAGGCCTCGGTGAACTGGCTGCCTTGGGGAGGACCAGGTAGGAAACACCACGGACGAGCCATGGTGTGTCTTTTAAAATTAAATTTTGAACCACTTAACGTGCATTACCACAGATCAGCAGCTGTTCTTTAGCCATGACTGTCCCCTTCAGGAATCCACAGCCTTTGGCAGAGTCACGTTTAGATGGAAGCACCCACGTTTCCACCAAAACCTTTTAGCACTCATTAGAGATGTACTGCCAGGATTTTTGTCTCCCCTCTAAGCTTGGTTGGATAATCGTTAGCTATGGGGCGTCTGCTTTTGCGCAGCAGCTGAATAATGCATTGGTAACGCATTCCTAATGTACATCTTGGAAATAAGTGTAATAAAACATAAAGACAGCGTCTTCCGGGATCTATTTTATCTCCCCAAGACTCAGCCAATATAAGAAGCCACCTGTGTCTTCTTCATTGCCAATACCGAGAACGCTCTTATCCCCCAACTCAGCATTTCAGTGAGAATAAGGATTTTGCAGGGATCATCAATTTTAACACAATACTTTCTACGAAATCTCAAAAGGAAGCCCCTTCTAATTACGGTTATCAAACCCTCACTGAACATATTCAGCGACCAAGTTCCATTTGACATTTGAGTTTAAATAGAGGCAAATAATCACAGGGCTTTAGTTACTTGCTGCAGCTTCCAGCTTGCGCTTGTGAGGGGGATCCTCGATGATCCGGTTTATGTCACCGCGGTGCTTCAGGTCCACCGGCTTCTCCCAGACTGACAGCTGCATTGTAGGGTTGAAGAAGAAGACCCGGTCATCTCCAGTCCAGACTACACACCTATTCCAAGTGATAAACTATGCTTAGATAACGTCAGATACACCCACAGAGACGATATTAACCCGCCGCCGGCTCCCTGCATCTCCGTCCCCAGCGCCTGGGGAAGGCTCCTCTCCAACTGACAGCCTGTCCCCCAGGCCCTGCCAGCCCACGCCGGTCACCTCAACTCTCTCCGTGTCCATAAAATGTCATAGAAATAGCCTAAGCGCCCCAAAAGAGCAGTAGGTGAAGTATTCCATCGCAGAAGGGAACAGGAACCAGGCGAGGAGGAACGCCGTGGTGCTCACAGCGAGAGGAGCCACGGGAAAACACATTTCCCATTCCAAAGCCGTGGCTGAGAGCAGCAAGCGGCAGGAGCCTCGGCAGTGGGGTTGGGTGGCCATGGCCTTGATGCCCACAGGCCAGGGCTCTGCCTGCTGCTGGCCGGTGGCTGTGGGAGCCTCAGGGGCTGCGCTGGTGGGAGGAGGTGTAACCACGGCATCCCCCTGGCATCCTCATGGCATCCCTTGGCATCCCCCTGGCATCCCTGTGGAATCCCCATGACATCCCTGTAGAATCCCCCCGGCATCCCTGTGGCATCCTCCCGGCATCCCCACAGCATCCTTGTGGCATCCCCACAGCATCCCTGTGGAATCCCCATGGCATCCCTGTGGAATCCCCATGGCATCCCTGTGGAATCCCCACGGCATCCCCCCAGCATCCCTGTGGCATCCTCCCAGCATCCCTGTGGCATCCTCCCAGCATCCCCCCAGCATCCCTGTGGCATCCCCCCAGCATCCCTGTGGCATCCCCACAGCATCCCCCTGTGGAATCCCCATGGCATCCCCCTGGCATCCCCGTAGCATCCCACGGCATCCCTATGGGATCCCTTGGCATCCCCCCGGCATCCCTGCTGACCCCCACCACGCTCTCGCTGCACAGGTACAACCGGCCACCGCAGAGTTCTACCACAAAACTTTAAGGCTGACTTTTACAGGCTCCGTTTCGGATTTGAAAAACACGACCAAGTTGCTGCTGTACAAACCACAGCTTCCTCACTTGCCCAGTTCAAACCTGCGTGACAGCAGCCCAGCTTTTGGTCCCGACATTCATTTTCAATTGGCTGAAAATAGCACGGAAATAGGTATCCCACCGTCCTTAACAGAGATTCGAAAGCCTCAAGCTGTACTTCGCTAAATCTACGTGTAAATAAACAAACATGGTATCAGCGCTTTCTGAATCGCAATGAAAACGAGCAAACACCACGCACCCCCTCGGACTGCACACGTACACTGTTAGTGGGAAAACGTTGGTCTCTCTGAAGCATAAATTCCTGGGCGGACCAAGTCTTGCCGTTAGAAGCTCTGCTGCTTAACTGGTATTAAAAGCAGGGCACAAAACTGGTTTAAAAAAAGAAGCAGCGCCCCATCGCCGCCAAGCACTGCGGTAAGAGAATCCCATGCGCTCCGCGTACCACGGGTGAGCCATCGCCACCCGTCCTGCCCAAGCACGGAATGAAAAATGGGGAAATTCTGCAAGAAACTGCGGCGGGGGCCGGGCGCGGTTCGGTGTAAGCCCCAGCGTCGCAGTAATTACGTCCAGCAGAGTTAATGGTTCACAACATTGGTTGTACAAACCCAGCTGGGTGACTTCACCCCCCGCCCCGTGGAAGTGTGGGCGTCCTGAAGTCAGCGGCACAGGCACGATGAATATTTTAATAATTTTCTGGTTACTCTAATGCACAACTGCTCTGGGTGACGGAGCAGCCTCGCAGGCAGATGCTCCACTCCTCCACTAGGCAGCGAGTAGGTACAGTTAGGACCTCGTACTTTGTACCTTGGAGCTACGGGAACCTCTGCTCCCCCAGAACCACCGACCCACCAGCCCCGAGGCTCTCCCACACCGAGCGGGACTTCTCCAGGGACCCTTCCAAACCGAGACTCCCCTAAATACCAGGTCTGGCCTGGAAAGAGAAGAAAGACATCCTGGCACACGGGTGACAAGGACAGACTTCGCTGATCGACATAAGTGCATTATTGATATCCTTTTATTAAATATTCCAATTACGGTCAGGCTGTATTGGGTCAAGCTGCACGGCGCTGGGCTTTCTATGGGTATGTAGAAAGAGGTTGATAACACCTCAATATTTTGGCTACTGCTGAGCAGTGCTCGACAGCATCAAGGCTGTGTCTCCAACACTTCCCCCCCCCCCAGGGGGCTGGAAGGGGGCAAGATCTTGGGAGGGGATGTAGCCAAGGCACCTGACCCAAACCAACCAAAAAGGGCTATTCCATACCATATGAGAGCAGCTCAGATATAAAAACGAAAGGAAAAGGAAGAGGAGGGGGGGCATTCATCTTTTATGACGTTTTGTCTACCAGAGGAACAACCACACATACTGAAGCCCTGCTTGCCGGGAAGTGGCTGGGCATCGCCTGCTAATGGGAAGTAGAGAATAAAATCTTGGGTTTTTCCTTTTACTACTGTGTGCGGCTTTTGCTTTTTCTTTATTAAACTGCCTTTATCTTGACCCACGAATTTGGTTGGGTTTTTTTTTCCCCCCACCTCATTCTCTCCCCGCCTGTCCTGCGGAAGAGGGGAGCGACAGAGCGGCTTGGTGGCACC